AAACTGAGGCAAAAAAAAAGTGCCTGGATTTGCTAGACTGCAAAATTTAACAAACCTCTATGGGATGTTTGTAGACTCTAAGTAGCTTTGTTCCTTGAACACTTATGTACTACTCTCATGCGCATTTCTCCATATAAACTGCTATCCATAACATTCATTCAGTACTCACACCAAAACAACCACACAAAAAGTGAATATCCTTGCCCATTTTTACAGGACCAATGTTCCAGTACGGGGTGATAAACTGCCCCTTGTATAAAAACCAAATACTGATTTAGTTAATTAATACTCCTTATTACTTGTCATTCTATTACATTAAATTACATTCTATTATTACCTACGTTCATTAGGTAGGTCAAAGGATTCCTGCAAAACAATCTTAAGTGCAGACTCACATTTTCTTGAAAATATGATTTTTTAAAAGATTGAACCCCCACATGAAAGGTAGTCAAAAGCAATGGTTACTGCAACAGTCTGATTTTTCAAAGCCATTCAATGACCCTGTTTCACAAATAGTCAAGCTGAGTTGAAGTAGCCAACACCTGGTACTCAGGTTATTTATGATCTAGTTAAAAAGATAATCGTATTACTAATTAGTGCACTATCATGAACCTAACGGTACTTCAGACTCACAGATAAGACACCTGAGCTGCAGTAGAATATAATAATCTCCTTGAGTACAGGAAGCGTTTTATGACTTTGTTAACCCTTAACAAATGTGTTTGTAGGCTTGGACTGGAGTGGATTGCTAGTTTTGGGGAAAATGTTATATGTTCCCCTAAGAATGGTTAAGAGGAAAGAAGGCACTATTTCTCTATAAGCCAAAATAACTCTTTAGCTTTACGTTTAGTGTCCTTCAAGGCCAATTTCTCAAGACCCATTTGCGAACAAGAGGAAAAACAAGAAAGATCTTCCACACGATACAGGAACTGCAATTTGGAACATGACACCAGCTATCACACACACCTCGGGAACAGCTCTAGACTGGATGACACTTGAGAAAAGACTTCAGCTAAAGCAAACTGCCTATTGGCCCCCTTTTCCTAGCCCAGCTAGCACTTGCCACCTGGATAATCTTACACATCACAGCTTCATGTGCTTTGCTTCCACAGCAGCTCAGTGGGGCTCACTATTTAGTCTTCCATCAGATATTATTTTCAATTAAAACCACAGAACTGGGAAACCTTTTTCATATCACTGAAATTCAGGGAAAAACTCTGAATCATTCTTACATGTGTTGCCTTCTCTGATTTGATTGTGAGCTCCTTGAGAGGAGCAACTGTCTCACTTTTCTATTTGTATCTTCATACTTTGCACAATGCTTGGCACATGGGAAGCTCTTAACTGCTTTTCATCTATCCACTTACTGACACTTTTTATGAGCGCTGACTAATATATCATCCTCCCCAAATTATTCTTAGTTTACATCTGTTAAGCAGTTTCCCCTAAGGATTTCTAGGTATGCAAGCAACTCCATAGCTATAGATCTAAGTTATACACATTTCCTTTGAACTTCCCATGGGCAGTTTGGAAATCATATTCTTTGCCCTCATCATGACCTTATACATCCTTTGTACTGCTCCTCTAACTTCACTTTCTGCTCTTTCTAGCCACGCTCCTCTCTTTAATCCAGAATCCTTTCTCCTCTTATTCTATCTCCACTTGTCCTTTGCCAATTCAAATCCTTGATTACTCCCACCATCTGCCTCCTTTATTCCTACTCACATGTTACTGATTGGAGCTGTAGGAGGTCACACAGGGATCACTACAAATTCATGTGATCAAGCACAGAAAATTAATGTAATGGTAATCGCACCATAAAAAATAAATACATAAAAAAGACTGAGTCAGATAAACCTGAAAAGACTTGTATAAACAGATAGAAAGTGAAATGAACAGAACCAAGAGAACTGTTCGTATAAGATCACAACATTGTAAGGTAAAAGAACTTTAAACATTTAAGAAGTCTGATCAATGCAAAAATGAATCATATCTCTAAAAGACTGATAAAGAAGCATTCCTATCAGTCTTTAGTGGAGAGGTAATACAATAGGTACAGAATACATTTTCAGATATGACCAATACTACACAAATTTGCTTTGCTTGACCATATATAAAAAGTTTTTAATTTGAGAGGTTGGGAGAATTTGAAGGGAAGAGCAGAATTAGTAATAGTGATGTAAATAAGAGAAAAGAAAGAAAATAGCATCATTGATCATTTAAATAACACAAGAAAGGAAGTTCAGAAGGGAACAAAGAAAAGCAGGGCAAGGTTGGTATGACCACATTAAATTCACACACACACACACACACACACACACACACACACACACACACACACACACACACACACACACACACCTGTATATAATAGAGTCATGATTTTCTAGATAATCTACTTTTTCTGGCCTTTGTGTGTGAAAATATTCCTGTTTGTTGAAGACTTTTTAAATAAATTTATGTTATGTAGCTTCAACTTTCCTTCATTGTAGAGCAAGAAAACTCTTTAATCTCCTTCCTTATCCCACACCCTACAGATACAGTTTGAAGCATCAAGTCACTCGCAGTTGAGCACCAATCTTTCACTTTAATGAGCAAATTTAGACCACTTGCCATAAGCTTCCTCTTGTCTTCATCTTAAAACCCCTGACCATCCTCCTTTTCCTCTTTCTTCTCCTTTCCTCCAACGTCTGATAATGAACTGTCCTGAATCCTTGATCACATCTCTGTCTCTAGGAGACTATCCTTCTCAACTATCCATTCTTTCTCTCTAGATTTCAAATTCTACTGGTTCTTTCCCTATTGCCTTCAAACATGCCCAAATCTCCCCTCATCCCTAAAAAACTAAGCAAACAAATAATAATAAAAAAAATCACTGTGACTTGGCCCTATCATTCTCTCAAGCCATCATCCTTTAACTCATCTTCCTTTCTTAGCCAAATTCCTAGGAACAGCTGTTAACAGTCATTGCTTCTACTTCCTTCAATTCTCAACCCTTTGTTTTCTACCTTCTGACCTCATCACTCAACTGAGACTTTTATTTTCAAAATTACCAACAATCTTTTAATTGCCAAATCTAATGACTGCTTCTCAGTCCCTCATTCTCCTTGACCTCTCTTGCTGCGTTTGACATTTATGACACTATCTCCTGTCACTTATTTGGATTTTATGCCCTACTCTCTCCTGGCTCTTCTCATACCTATCTGACAGCCCCTTCTCAGATTCCTTTGCTAGATGATGGACCACACTGAGACTTCTATCTGTAAATGTATCCTAAGGCTCTGTCCTGGGTTCTTTTCTCTTCACTCTCTCCATTCTCTTTCTTGGTGACTTCAGCAGCAACCATGGATTTAATTATTATCTCTATGCAGATGACTCACAGATACATATATATTTCCAAAACTCAGTCTCTCTCTGAGCTTCAGTCTCACATTAACTAACTCCCCACTGGATATTTCAAACGACATGTTCTGGAGATACCTCCAGTTCAACGTGTCCAAAAAAGAATTATCTTTTCCTCCAATCTGACCCTTCTAAAAACATCCCTGCTTCTGTCAAGGAAAATACCATTCTTCCAGTCTTCTGGGTTTTAAACCTTGGTCTTACCCTTAACTCTCACCATTCTGCTAACTACTTATTCAGGGGGCAAATTTTGCTGTTTTTGTCTCTGGTACACCCCTCTCATCTGATTCCTCTTCTCTCTACTCACACAGGTCATAACATCTTAGTTCAGGCCCTCATCATCTGTTACCTGCACTATTGTAATGGACTCTTATTTGTTCTTCCTGCCTCCAGTCTCTCTGTAATCCATCCTCCCCACAGCTATTAAAGTGATTTCCCTGAAGCACAGATCTGGCCATGTCACTATCCTCCTCAATAAATTCAAGATGGTCCCTATAGCCTCTAGGATAAAATATAAACTCCTTAGCACTTATCTTTCCAGCTTCATTGTCTATTACTTCCCTTTCCTCACTCTACATTCTAACTAAACTTGTTTTGTTCTGAATACATGGCACTCCGTTCCCCATTGCCATGTCTTTACACTGGCCATCACCGATGCCTGAAATATACTTCTTTCTCATCTCCTCCTCTTTCTTCAAGATACATCTTAAGTATCATCTTCCACAGAGCCTTTCTTGATCCCCCAAGTGTTAGTGCCCTCCCTCCCTAACTAGCTTGAATTTATTTTGCATTTGTTCTGTATAATTTATTCTGTAAATACTTATATATGTGCACATTGAGTCCCCAATAGAACGGAATCTCCTTGACAGCAGGCATTGTTTCATTTTTTGTCTTTGTAGCCACAACATCTAGCACATAGTAAAAGCTTAATAAATGCTCGTTGACTGGCTGATTCTGCTAAATATCTGTAAAGAGAGTGAATTGATTGGTAAGTGTTGGAGCATTTGTTTATGCTGCACAGAGGCTATCACCTATATCTTCAGATCTGGCTATCACACTTAACAGTTTTACCCAAGACACTTAGTGATATGCTCATGTCCTTAAACAGATGCACAGAAGAGTTTAAAGCATACTTTGGATAAAAGGGGACAACAAGGGGAAAAGGAAGCACCAATGCAATTCTTTGCTATGAACACCAGAAGTAAATTTTTTCTAAATTATTGACAGCTTCTTGATTAAAAGAAAAAGGTAGCACACCATAGTAGCACAGCATCTTTCTAAAGCAGGATGTTCTGAAGGATGTGTCTATCTGCCATAGCAGGCCCTGTCACCCCTGCTATATGTAAGCCATGTAGTTAGCCTGGAAGCCAACAGTTAAAAGGCTACATTGACCTCTCTTTCCCCTGGTTTCTGCAGCTCTATGCAGGGAATACATGGCCACATTTCAGAATTTTTTAAGGATGGGATGGAAGCTTGCTGTCACTACTAAGACCTTGGGAGGCTTTCCTCTGACTGACTGACTCTCCTCTCCCTTTAGGCTTCTAACTATAAATAAAGTGAGGTAATCTCTTCAAGTGGGTTCTTATTTTTTCACTCACCTTTCATACCACTACCTTCTTCTTGGAATGTGTTACGAGCAGTAGTCTGATCTTCTAAGTGTTCACTCCCACCACTTCCTGAAGAGGCTACACTGCTTTGTGGAGACAGGGGGGCATGATCGGATGGGATGCACTGGGGTCCTCTAGCTCGTAAGTCCTCATGAGACATCCATCCATGTCCTAGAGGCTGGTTTGGCACATTCATGGGTGGGGTAAGGGATACAGATCGTTTCAAAGGGCTGTGATGTGCCTGGCCTGAGAGAACTGGAAAAAAAAATAAAATGAAACAGGTTATTCCCCCCCCTTTAGTCCTGGGTTGCAGAAGAACCCCCGATAACAATTAACCATGGAGGGCAAAACTAATTCTCTTAACTACAGTGACGTTGCTGCTGCCAAATGAGAAGACAAAATTCTAGTCTGGCTATTTCTTTTTGGGAAAAAAGATCGAGTACTTCCAGCAGCCTTGATTTTTTACTTTAAAGTATACCTAGATCCACCTGGCATTTAATCTTTTAAGCCATCGAATCAAGATTCTTAGAATAGGGCCATGATAACTTGGAAAATAACCATCTGCCCATAATGAGTAAGGTATGCCAGGAAATTCTAAAAGACAATTGATATTTAGATCATTAATGTGATATATATATCTTGGAGGAGGGTCAGCTGGTTAAACTGCTTTTTTTCAAATCTGAACAGCATTAAAAGAAGACTGAGCATGCTGCTCTGTTGTGGATTTTTTTTTCAGTTGAAGCCACAGGGACCTGTCAATGGGCAGTGCAGACTGAATGGGTGTCTACATCACTACATACTACAACTAGTCTGGGATAAACAGATGGAAACTGGCGCTGTGAAAGGACTGATTCTTTCTCCTGTTCTGGCAAGTTAATGCCAAACTTACACTGAAAACATTTCCAGGTAACAAGGGTACCATTCAAAACCCAGAAGCAGCCTTTAGTAAATCCTGAATGATCCTTACCACCATGTATTATTCTTGTGTGCACTGCATGGCATCTGTTTGTTCCCTAGTTTATTCTCTTTTTGAGAAAACTAGTAAAAAAGCAACAGAATTCATGCATTTAGCTAGATCCTGTTTATGGAAGGGATGGTTCACTAAAATCACTATTTGAGAGATTTGGTTCTTCTGGGTATGCAGCTGAAGAGGCAAGGAGACAGCTTTCAGAAGTAAGACTATTCATAAAATTCTTTTAACACTTTTCCTAGAGGCAAAGTTTATTTTAATTGCTATTACAGTAATACGGGATTGGGCCACATGCATTTTTTTCCACACGCATTTTAAAACATTTTTTCAGTACAACCATTCAATTTCATCTTAGGCTCAACTCTTTTTCCACAAGGTCTAACTTAGCATTACATTTCTTTTCTGACATTATTTCCTCTATGTTCGGAAAACAAAAAAAAGCAAGATTCTAAATTCATTCGGCTCTGTTTTTGTTAACCTGCTCTTATTAATGTTATAGCATACATGTGCATCCATCCACTCAAGAAAAGAAAACCCAGCTTCAGAACTGTTTGGATATTTCTAAATGCCCAAGAAAAATGTTTGTAGGCTATATTAGGTAGCAGCAGTGAGGTGGTTAATGTTGTTAAAATTCGGTTGGTATTAATTAGGCTTTGCTTCTCAGAATGTATTGCATTTGATAGTAGGAGTTAATACACCTCTTGCTCCTATAGTTTCTATCCATACAGATGCTTGCTGAAAGGTAGCATGGTACAGTATATTGGTTATATAGGCACCTAAATGAATAGAGTGCTGAACTTGGAGTCAGGAAGACCTGAGTTCAAATCCTGCCTCAGATACTTTACTTGACTGAGTGATCACAGGCAAGTCACTTAACTTTGCTCAGCTTTAATTTCCTCATCTGCAAAAATATAGATAGCACCTACCTTCTGGGTTGTTGTGGGGATCAAATGTGATAAAAAGCACTTTGCAAATATTAAAATGCTCTATATAAATGCTACCTGTCATCACTGGTATTATTATTATGTGTACTTCCAGAAGGATATAATTTCTTAAGGAGCAGAAAGTTAGGTTCTTTCTCCAGAATTTGAAACCTACAGAAATTTACCGATTCCACAGTTTCTCATTTTGGGCAAATACTGTCAGAAACAAAAATGACTTACTGCCTAACTCAAACATATGTGCATTGGGGGTGGAGGATGGGGGTTGGGACACAGGAGCAGAGAATCGATTCTATTATACTGTAGGTTTCAATTTCCACTAAATATCCTAGCTACAAGACTATCAGAAATCACATTCCTAGAAATGGCATTATTGACTGGTTTGATCAGAATTACCAAGAGAAAGATGAGGAAAAAAGAAAAGCAAAGTTGGAAAAGCAAATTGAAAAGAAAACCAAGAAACCTGGAAAAGCCATCTCTTGCCTGTGCTGGGTAGAATTGGGCAGTAAGCATTAAAATCCCAGAAGCCCCAACTTTGTCTGCTTATACTCTTCACCCATTCTTGCTATAAATATTTTAGGACATCTAAGAGGTGTTCCCGAAGTATATTAGTAGTATATGACGCCCAGAATGCAGAAGTCAGTCATTCAGAGCAAGGTCTTTGTGTAGCCTATAAAAGCAGAACACCAAGTGAACACTAGTGAAGACCTCTAACTAGCAATTGAGAGTCCTTATAGTGGTCATATTGTGCCATTTTTGAATGCCAAAGACAATGATGTATATACTGAGTGTTTGACTACAAACCAGGACTGGAGGACCAAATTCAATTTTTCTTCAGCTAAAACTGCCTCAATTCCCACATTGGCACAGGAGATTTAAGTGACACTAAAGGTTTATTCACTTTGCAGAGCTTATTGGAGTTTAAAAAATTAGAAACCTCTACATGATATTCTATTGAATTTCACTCTTCTTAGAGGAAAGAAGGACAAATTTTGTCTTTGACACACCTTCCAAAATCCAAATTTCATCTGAGGAGTCAGGTCTATTTTCCATCTATTTATCATCATGCAGTGAGGGGTATGTTGGAGCCAGCTCAAAGTTATGTCAAAAGCCAATTGTTAAATCTTTCAATGTAAACATCTACACCTCAGAAATCGGCAAATGCTACAAATCAAGGATTGACTTGTTTTGTTGATTGCCTAGACTACACATGAGAGTGTGCCATGGATACTTTGGGGCTTTTTCTTCCAGAGAGCTGATTGTTAAAGATTTACCAGCACACCCCTGATTAAGGGCTTCATCTCTATATCCTCGAAAGAACTGAAAATTATTTCAAAATCTGGTACCCAACACTGAAATCTCGTAGGATGTAATCAACCATGGCAACCAGCTGAAGAAAGTTTTACTAAACTGGTGTTTGGCAGTGAAAAAGCTAGAATTGGTGCTTTAATCACAGAATAGCCCAAGTTTCCCATAAGAAGCTCTGTGAAGGAGACCTTATGTCAGAACCTCTGGGATGTAAAATCTTTACTTTTCCCAAGTAAGGGTGACGGGACATTATAATGACTATCCAAGCAAGCCCATCATGGACAGACTGCAACTTCGTGGTGCAGGTTTAGGCGGAAATGATGGTGGCAATAGAATATGTTAGCATAACTTACTTTATTAGAGCTCTCTGCTCTCTCCACATAGGGCCTGCCAGAAGAGGTAATCATTACTTACCTCTTGGCACAGTGTCACTATGAAAAGAGGCACACAGTTAAGGAGCAATTAGATGGCTAACAGCACACCGTCAGCTACCGGGTTTTTCAGAAAAGAACCAATTCCAATCAATGATGACCACTTTGAAAGAGTACTGTAGTTCAGAAGAACTCAAATTCCTTTTCACTGAGATGGGAGCGAGGGGATAGAAACAGGCTTTTGAGAAGCTTTTCAGAAGTGTTGTTAGGTACTAGAGACAGAACTTTTGAATGCTCTGTTTGTGCCGGCCGAGGATCAAGAAAATACTTTACTTAAGTTGTTTAAAAGTAATATTAAATGTTATAGAAGAAGGCATTCATTTTAAAAATCTTAGCACTTGTTGGAAAAAAAGCATAAATATGTAATTCCTACCATGGAATTTTATGTTCTATGTCTACTTTGTCTGTGACTTTAAAGTAGTAGCAAGGAGGAGACAGAAGTATTTAAGATGGGCACAGCAAATGAGAAATCATCCCACAGATTTCCAAAAGGAACAAAATAGTACCTTAAAATTGCTCTTGAAAACCAAAGCTGAATTTTGGGTTATTTAGTGATTTAGGTTTAAATATGTCTTTAGTTTCCAAAAGAGATTCCAGGTTCATCTGTATTCCACTGGGAGACTTCATTTGGTAATGTTTATTCAAGTGGACTTTTTATAAAAATCATAATACTGAGTAAGTCTAATAAAAACACGAGGGAAAGCAGTTAAAGAGAGAATCTAAATATATGTGTTAAATATGTATATTTTATTTCAAAAAGTATTAAGGATATCTCAAGATAAGGGTTCAAAATAATCTTGGCATTAAAGAAATGATATTTCACATCACTCTGGTACTAGAGCTTCTCTAGCCTTACATAACTTCATAATGTCTTCTATGCTGAAATATCTCCAAAAAGTAGGCAAAAATGAGTACCTTTTCAATATGTCTTAGAAGAATATCTGCCTTTGAATTTTGTTCTTTGAAATTCTTTCTCTAAACCCTCACATTTCTTTCATTTCCTTGATTTAGTCTAAATTTTTAATTATTGAGGGAAGAGGTGTGAAAGGACTTTCTAGGCTATTTGGTCCCCTCCTGGGGACAGCTAGGAACTCTATATACTCTCTACTTTCTAATTTGAGAAACAACATGGTTTCCCTTTCATTTATCTTCATGGAACACTGTCCTACCCCTAAATTAAGTTACTTACTTATCCAGCACAACCGGTTATTTCATATAAGTGAATTTCTAGTTAATTGAAGTTCACCCTTTCAAGCACTTAATTAAAAAAATTAACCACTGTTGATGGCAGTTTTTAAGATACATCATGCAGTTGCCTGCCTCCTTAACATAATATATGGAATGAATATCATTAAATCTTTTTGTTGGATAACAATTACTATTAATGTCATTAATGAGTATTTATTACTATATTGTGCTAAAAGCAATAGATTACTGTTCTGAAAGCACTGAAGATGGCTATAGCAAGATATCTGGAGGGGAAGCTACTAAATTTGTGGAGGAAATCCTAGACCTTATTTGTATCTAAAAAAAGGTAAACAAGAGAACATTACTAATTACTAACTTATACACTTTCTTATCCACACAAAATCTTTAGAAGAATCA